CCAGGGCAGTCGTGGTGATGTTCCAGATGAGACACTGACCAAGGTCTTGGAGCGAGCTGGATCCGACCGGCTAAGAGTTTGTGTCTTCCACCTCCACAACGACGCGGCGGCAGACAAGGTGGCGTTGGCTCATGAAGTGTTGGGCAACATGTTCATCGACTGCTTGCACTACCAAGTCGACCTCATCGGTGGCGACGCCAACATGGCCCTCTACCGGGCCACCGGCCGAAAGCAGGAGTCGATGGATATTCGTGGCGGGATGTACCAAAGCCTTCTCGATTACTTCTTGGAGGCATGGTCAGAAAGCCCAAAGTGCCCACACTTCTGTTCGCCTCGTGCGAGACATGTGTCTGTCGGACGATCAATGGGCGGAGTTTCCGTCTTCAAAGACTGAGTTCGACATCCATGTCTCTGAGTGGCTGTTAAACTCCACCAGCGCCGCGTACCTTCTCAACGATCGGGACTATGACGCTCACACTCCGCTCCTCATCGAGGTTCACGCGAACCAGTACTCTGGAGGCAGGATGAGAGCGCTCAACCGCAATCCCGACACCGTGAAGGAAGCCGCGGACAGAAGAAAAGAGAGACAGAAGCTGAATAAGGCGCGTGGTTCTGGTTCTACTGGTCCTGCAGCCGCACCACAGGGAGCAAGCTCTTCTCAGGGAGAGGCAGCTTCTGGTGCTAAAGCTTCTGGTTCTCAACGTCCTCAAGAACCCGCACAACCTCCTGGTGGCAAAGAAGACGGCAAAGGAGGCAAGTCCTCCAAAGGAAAAGGCAAGGACGCCGACAAGGGCAAGTCCAAGGGGAAGACCAAGGACAAGTCCAAGGGCAAGTCCAAGGGCAAAAACTGACTAGGTTCAGATGAGGGCGAGGACACAGACGTTGACGTTCCTGACGAAGACGTTGGTCCTGGCCCAGCATCCTTTGGTGATAGACCGTGGTTCCCATTTCGCCTGCAGCTTTTTCACTGGCATTTGAGAGATGGTACTACCCTCACCACCATTTGCCTCATCCTGATGACAGTCCTCGTACTCGTCGTAGGGTGGAGCAGTACAACCAGAGGGTGATGAACCAAGGTCCGATGGAAGAAGTGGAGTGAGTGTTTCACGGAATGCTTCTTTCATAAGAAGGTATCCAGTTTGAGCATTCGCCATTTCATAGGAAGATGCTTTTCTCATGAAGAGGTACTTCCTGAAAGACCTTGTCAGAAAGAAGATACTTATCTCAGGATAAGATACTTCTCATGCCCTTATATATTTGCCGTGTCGCAAGATGTCATGCTGACATCAAGTGGAGCTAAGCTCTACAATCTTTTATGTGACAGTAAGCTTTCCGCCTGGAGAGGAAACTGAACACAAGTGGGCAACTTTCAAGCAAAAGTTTTCAGTTGAAGATCCGTTTGCGTTTTCGTGCGTGTTCTGCTCTTTTCATTGAAGCTGTCTTCAGGTGATAGATGTATAGATTCTCTTCAAGTCGCAGATGTAGCTCAATACTCCGCTAATTCGACCGAGAGCAATAACAGGCTAGTTGAATGCCGACTCCACGGCCATGAAGCTCTACGTGTTTTAAATTTGTGCCTGGTTGAAACACTGAATGTTACACATCCAGGTGCCTGTCTGTTTCACGTATCACTTGCATGTATCCATGCCTGTTGCTCAAGGTTCTAGTGCAGTGGACTACAGCTGTGCGCCTGTAGCAAAAGAGACACCTGAGTGCCTGTGTTCCTGTACGCCTAGCGAGGGGATACACGTCCAGGTTACATCTCAGGGGGGTGGGGGGGGGGGGGGAGGGGGGGGAGGGGGTGGAGGACCAACAAACCAGGTAAAATGAGGGGGCAGGAGGGGGGGGGGAAGGCCTGGGAGGGGGGGGGGGATGCCGACAAATCAGGTAAAATGAGGGGAAGCCGGGCAAGGGGGTGGCAAACGAACGCAAAAAACGGGTGTCCCCAAAGTGGAGGGTACCTGAGCTAACCCCCAAGGCCTGTGGCCTCGGCGGATATATGTATATGTATATGTATATATATATATATATATATGCATATGGTACAACCCCCCCCAAGTTATCCACCCTTTTTTGCTCTGAGTGTTGCGTGTCTGAGTCCTGTGTGTCTGAGTCCTGCATGTCTGAGTCCGGTGTGTCCTTCCCCTTCCGATTGCAGACGAAGTAATCTCTTTTGCTGTTGCCCAAGCTCTAGTTCCTGCTTCCAGCGGAAGATTCAAAGCAGAAAAGCAGAGGAGCAGTAGCTCGGCATGGGCGCCCGCGGCAAGCCATCCTCGTTGGTATTGATCCGATTGCCCTGCGTGACCACACGCAAGAGGGCACCAGGCCCAGGGGCTCTCAAGAAGGTGCATTGGACGAAGATTGCCAAGACCTGGCTCAAGGGCCGCAAGATCATACTCCACACCGATGGCGCTCGGAGCTACAAGGCCAAGGTGGCAGGAGTCCTCCATGACTCCTTGGTCCATCGAAACATACGTGTTTGGAAAGGTGTGAAATGGCTTTGGCAGCCTCCAACCTTTGTGCGCATCGCAAAGCACACGCGCCCTGATGGTCGCAGGCTTGCTGTGAAAGCGGGAACGCAGGTGGTGGATCGCGCATGGCGATTCATCAAAGACCGTCTCAAGATCAACCAGAACGTGCAATGCAACTCCACCCTCCTGCAGGCAAAGATCCGTTCCCCTCAATTTGAGTACAGGCAGAGAGGCAAGGATGCTTGGACCAGCACCGGGGAGCTCTTCACATGGTACATGAGCAACATCGCAGAGAAGTTCTGAGATACACAGTCACCAGGACCAATCCAGCATGAGTAGTTCGCAGGCTGACGACACAATTTTGCACGGGATTACACGCTCGGCTGCATACAGCACAAAACCCGGATGCTCAATGCACTCTCTACTTTCTCTTGGTCTGCTGCAGATCAAACTCAGCGAAGCCACATCCTTGCCGATGTAGCCTAGAGGACGGACAGATCATAAGGCCTGAGGATATACCACCGTCTGTGTTTGATCTCTTGCAAAAGAAGTCGGCCTGGGCTACAACTTCGTATCCTCTGTGTAGTGGTGATACAACCTGGTATGATGAAGTCTGCAGCCTTGCATGTTGCACGCAATGGCGAAACTGCGAATGACCCATTGCTACAGCTGTATCTTATCTACCGGTCATTGCTGGTCGGGGAGGACCCCGCGCAGAACGGGCGGGTGCGAGAGCAGGCATGGCCATGCTCCGCACCGTGGCCCGTGAAAGGATCAACGCAATGCTGCGTGTTCCCTGCGTAGAACGGGCGGGTGCGAGAGCAGGCATGGCCATGTTCCACACCGCGGCTCGTGAAAGGATCGACCCAAGGCTGCGCGTGGGAGGACCCCACGTAGAACGGGCGGGTGCGAGAGCAGGCATGGCCATGCTCAGCACCGTCACCTGCCAAACGGACCATTCGGTTCATCCCTCCCCAAACGGGTGGATAACCCGGGGGGGGGGGGGGGTAGCTATACATAAACACCTGTCTAAATATGTTTATGTATATATGAATATATAATATACATATGTCGTTGTATGTTTATATATGCACACACACACACACACACACCTCCCTCGCTCCCTCGCTCGCTCGCTCGCTCGCTCGCTCTCTCTCTCTCTCTCTCTCTCTCTGTCTCTCTCTCTCTCCCCCGCTGTTTCGCGCAGAATACTCATGTTCACTTGTCTCTTTGTTGTACCTCTTTTGTGCGGAGTGAAAAGCTTTAGTAGGTTTAAAGCGCGGCATGAGGCAGTCCCAATCTGACTTCTGTCTCACACAGTGGCCAGTGTGTTGTTGTCGTGTTTGTTCTTCCGAGTCCCAATGTTGATAATGTTGATACATTCATTATGCTTTTGTGGGCGATGCTCAATGTGGTGATGATGCTGATGATGATGCTAGTGATAAATGTGATAGTGATGACGTTGTGAGTGATGTTGGCAATGAGGAGGGTGATACAAAGCGGGCTTCTTGAGATTATGGCGGTGTTGATGGCGTCGTTGGTGTTATTGCCGTCTGTCGCTTATGGTGATGATGATGGTGAAGTTGGCGAGTTCCTCTTTAGACATTGCTGTTCTCATCATGCCATGGCCATGACGGGTAGTCTAGGATTCCAAAATTATCATTGTTTGTATTTCTGCCGACGCTATTATTGCTTGTTTACCTGTGGTGCGATTATGACTAGTGCGACTGATCCGACTGCAAAGGCGTTCGTGGCTCTTCGCGATGATACCGTCCTGAATACTGGTATTAAATTGAAGCTTATTGCGACTGCCCTCGTGAGTATTACCACTGCACCTATGGGGTGACGTGCTCCCTTGCTACTTGCATTCTTGTTGCGATTCATGCTTCCTTTCCTACGGCTGCAGTCGTTTGGCCTCTAGATGCTGTCTTGTTGCAGTTGTTGCATAGTGTTTGCTAACACATACCTGCGATGCTTTAAACATGACGGCATTGAACTTACGTTTTTTGCTGTGGTGATAACTCTGGTTTGTTCTGCGAGCCACTTGCTACGAGTAGTGCCAAGATGATGCCAATGCTCGGTTCCATGCTTCTCACCATGCCATCATTGTGATGGTTGCCAGAAACAGCTCTGACCCTTGTCCCCACAGCACTGGAAATCAGTATCATCGGATGAAAAGTCTTGCAGGTTTGAATGTTGCAGTGTTTTGGGGGTGTCTTTCATGCCAAGCAGCGACACAGAGTTCCGGTCTTGACACTTCAACAGATTGACATCCAAGACTGCGATGGTTTAGGCTTCACGAGGCCTTGTGTTTTCTCGCTGAGAGTTGAGGCTTCGGTACTTTGGAGAGTTGCAAAATACTCAAAGGACCATGAGTATTAGTAACTAGGGCGATTACTAGGGTAACCATACTTATAGTTACTTGTAGCCCCAATTAAGGTACTTATAACCATGCTTACTAAGTCCCATGATCCCCATTCTAGCACCCTTATAGACCCTTTTAAGGACCCTATTATAGAACAAGTGCAGGACATGCTCCAGAAGATCATCACCCTTGGAGACGATCGAAACGTCCGGGAGGTCTTCGTGAATGGTCGGAGTGTGCACAAGCTAGACACCCCGCCAGCTGCCCAAAGGGGCGGCTATGCGTAGGATCTATGGGGCTTCGTTTGGGTGTGGATTCCAAAGTCGTGTCCCCTTTTAGGCAAAGCTCCCGTTAAGATAGGTGTCTCGAAAGGGACTCACCCACCCAAATACAGAGCAACCTTCACGTGCCCTCGCCATCCTATGAAGACCGTCCAAGAAGTGTTATAATTAAGACCCGTCAACACAATATTAAGTGAAGACTTCACAAAACAGTGGTAAAACCTGTTGCCCTGAACCCTAAACACCCCTAACAGACCCTGCTTCCCGCAAGCCTTACTAAACCCTAACAGAAAGCCCAAAGTCCTACAAGCCCTGAGCCCTAAACCCAAAGCCCTAAAATTTTGAGATCCAAACCTAAACCCTAAGCCCTAAACCCCAAACTCAAGTTAAAACCCTCTAAAGATAAAGTTTGACATGTAAATCTAGACCCTACACACCAAATCGGAATGTAAGCTTATCCCCTATAAAGGTTTAGATTGACATGTAAATCTAAACCCTACACATGATTTTAGACCCTAGAAAGGTTTGCTCGGAAGCTCCCAAGATTTCGACAGGCCCGAAACAGGGTCGGCTCCAAAACAAAGGCCCCGGGTGGCGCCGGACGTCCATGCTGTCCGAGCTTAGGATTTAGGGGTCTATGGGTTTAGACTTAGTAAGGGTTCTTACAGGGCTCCTTAAAGGGATCTGTAGGGTTCCTTAAAGGGATCTATGGGGGTTTAGGGTTCAGGGTCTACTTGGAGGGGCAGGGGACTTAGTAAGTAGGGTTATAAGTAGGGTTATAGTTGGGGTAACTCCATTTAGGGTACTTATGAGTCTACTTCTAAATATACTTACTAAGTCCCCTGCCCCTCCAAGTAGGGTCTAGAGTTTAGGGTTAGGGTCTAGGGCTTAGGGTTCAGGGTGTCTGAAATTACTATGGGGGTCAGTATTAGGATTGGTACTACTGTTCTTCTCTTGCTTCGTAGTCTCATCACAACTATTTTGTTCTGATTATTCTGATTTGATTGTAATTGTTGCTAGTACTGCTACATAGCAGCAAATGTCCTAAGACCCTCTTCTGAGAATCCAGGCCCTCTATTATTATGTTGCCATACCTCTAGGGTTTTTGTGACAGGTCTTGGGCTGAGGGTTCAGGGTGTATGTTTAGTGGTTTAGTGAGTGGCTTTCACGGTTTATGGTTTCAAGTTTAGCATTGGGCTCACGTTTTTTTGAGTTTAGCGGTTTAGCGGTTTGTGCTTGGCTTTGCGTTCCAATCAATCGCCTAAGTGGCATGTCGCCCTAGGAACAGACGTGTAGGATTGGAGTTGCGGTTGGCATCCAAGCTGATGTTGTTGTTGTTGTGGTGGTGGTGCTGGTGGCGCTTGTGGTTGAGGTTGTTGTTGTTATTGTTGTTGTTGTTGCTGCTGCTAATACTGCTGTTGTTGTTGTTGCTGTTGTTGTTTGCTGGGCTCGACTCAAGTGACACGCACTCAAAGCCAATGACGAGATGGACATCCTGCGCCACCACCTCGGGCCGATGTTTCGAGAAGTGGGGGTTGCTCCAACCATTTCGACAGACGAATGATTAGTAACAGCAGCAGCAGCAAGAAGAAGAAGAAGAATAAGAAGAAGAAGAAGAAGAAGTACGGTTGATGATATAAATCCTGCATTACCCATAATAAGGAATATACCATAATTCCAATAGTTTAGGGTCCTTAAGGTAATGCAGGACTTATATCATCAACCGTAGCAGTATCATCATGACCAAGAGCTTCGAGCAGCAGCACTAGAGATCCGTGTTCGTGGTAGTCAAAGACTCGTAGACGTAGTCGGTAGTCTGTGAATCATGAGCAGCAGCAGTAGCGGGAAAACTTAAGACTTAAGACCCATGGACAGAAATACTCATATCGATAATGACGATGATGGTGATGACGGAACAACCCTTCGCCACTCTTGCAACCCCTACTCCGAGGCTCTAGAGACCCTTTATTGAAAGCCTTGTAAGCGGCTCAGAGATTAGAGCAACCCCATGTGCTACTCCAGACTCCGGGGCACAGTTGCTTGGCTGCGCCGGTGAACTTACGGGGCTGCTGTGTTGAGACTTCTGCCGCTCCTTTGGGGGCGGTTAGAGTTTAGGATTTATTAGGGACCCCAAAAAGCACATAAAGCATAAGCATTTTATAGGGACATCCCTTCCTTATTGGGCTTCATTATAGGGGGGTTTATATGGGATCTTCTTTGGGGCCGTAATTTAGGGTTTGGGGGCAAATGCTTGGTCTTTGGGATGCGAGTTTAGCCCTACCCTGCATCCCATTGTCCAAGCTCTTTTTGTCCGGCCACTTCGTTTGATGAATTTCCCAGATACGAGGCTGAACCCGGAAATGCCAAATACCCCTAACTAGGGAGTGTCTGCTTATTGGGATTTCGCTATATTCCTGACTGAAGGGGTATTGAGCTTTCTGTGAATTAATTTCGACGATGCGAGCAGATCAACTCTAGACGGCTGCAAGAGCGACCCAAGCCAGTCTATTCCTGCATGTTCGCAGTTCAGGTTTAGGGTTTCGGACTACAGAGAGGCAATGCTGTGGCCCAACGACGATTTGAGTGTTCATTTTTCGGTGCCGTTCCATGGCATACGACCCATACGTCCCCAAACTCAGTAGGGCAATAGGACGGATCTTGCGCAGTGGGCTTGTCTCCCTGTCCTACAACCCCTTTACCCCTGAACCCTAAAGTCATCGCAGCATTCCGACTAAGCCCAAGCACTGAGCACGGAGCACCCTGAACCGTAAACCCTAAACCCTGAATCCATGCCTCACGCCAGATGAGACTCAGTGGGAGGGTTGGGTCTAACATGTGTAAAAAAAATACCCTGAATCCTAAACCCTAAACCCTAAACCCTAAACCCTAAATCCCGAATCCCAGACCGATGGATCCCGAAGTCAACTGGAGCCTCGAACTCGAAGCCTTGAAAGAGCCTCCCCCAGTCATTCCTACACCCCTAGGGCCCGAAGCGCTTAGGGTTTAGGGTTTGGGGTCTAAACCGGATAAAATTTATCCTAAAGTCCATAGCCCCAGAGTCCGATCCCCAAAGCCCGAAAACCCTCAACCTGCAAACCCAAAACAAGCCCTTAAAACCCTCAACCATCCTCGACCCTGAGCCCTAAACCCTAGGCCATAGCCCCTAAACCCGAAACCCGAAGCCATAATCCCTAAACTCTAAACCCTAAACCTAAGCTCAAAGCCGTAACCGATGGGGTGTCGCCGGGCTCTGCGATTGCCATGCTCTCCGACCTCCCACAGGAGGCGATTCACGGGTCAAGCCTTCCCACAGGCTAGTAGTAGAGTAGGTGACCTTTAACCTTTTTTGGGTAGTATCGTCACTATATAACCCAAAAGGTTATTTTAACCTTTAGGTCCCTCTGATACCCGACAAGTAGGACAGACTCCAAATGTATCCCTTAAAATAGGGGTTTAGGGTGTTAAGGGTCCCATAAATAAGCATTTAGGGTTTACCTGTAGCCGAAAAGACCTACCCTTCAGGGCTCCTTAGTATGGCTTTACCCTTCAGGGCTCCTTAGTATGGCTTCTATATATAGTACCTTAAAGCGGTAGGTCTTTTCGGCTACGGGTAGGGTTCGGCTATGCCGGGGAGTTTAGGGTTTGGAGTTCACGATGAAATACACTCTCCAAGAAGGGCAGTTTAAGCTTGAAGTAGCCCCTAAGTATAACCTAGCGCCAGGAGGTCCAACCATCCAATTCCACGAGCTAGTGCCAGTTGCTGAAGTTGGCTAAGGACTGCTAGAAGGGTACCGGAGGGGTCGATGTGAGGCTTACTACAACTCTTTCATAGTTGCTATACAGGCTCTATGAGGGTATTATATGGGTAGTTCTCAATGGGGTCCTTTTTGTAAGAGTGCCGTACTATCTATGACCCAAAAAGGGACCCTAATTTACCCAAGGCCAGAACTCTGTTTCGCCCGAAGCCCGGGATGCCCCGCAGACTACACTTAAAGGATCATGGGACTTAGTAACTAGGGTTATTATTATTCTTTTCTTTTTAGAAAAAGAAAGGGCTATTATGAAGGTAACTATACTTATAATTACTTATAACCCCACTTAAGGTACTTATAACCATACTTACTAAGTCCCATGATCCTCCAAGTAGAGTTCCGGGAAGGCACAGTGCATGGCATTCTTTCAGGGTTTGGGGTCTACTTATACCCAGGCCTTCCAACTCCTTGAAGAAGGAGTATGCCTTCATCCGTATTAGGGTTCCTACTATTACTTAAGGTATTTGAAATGAAGGATTTTGTAAGGCCTCGGTACTTCACTGAACCCTAAACCCTAAACCCTCACTATCCCGTATCATTCCATGTCCCGACAATCGGCGCGCGTCGAAGCGCCAGGTTCTCTCCGGAACGCCGAGGGTGTAGGATCCTCCAGAGGCTTCCGAGGCCTCAAAAGGTGGGATGAAGGTAGGTACGGTTGATGATATAAATCCTGCATTACCCATAATAAGGAATATACCATAATTCCCATAGCTTCGGGTCCTTAAGGTAATGCAGGATTTATATCATCAACAGTAGGATTAAGGATCCCTTATATAAGGACTCTTATTTGGGAATATCCCACCTACCTTCATCCCACCTTCTGAGGCCTCCGAAGGCTCGGGGTTTGGGGTTTTAGAGTTTAGGGTTTAGGGTTTAGCGTTTAGGGTTTAGGTGTTAGCATTTAGGGTTTAGCGTTTAGGGTTTAGGTGTTAGCATTTAGGGTCTAGGGTTTTAGAGTTTAGGTATTAGCGTTTAGGGTTTTAGGTTTTAGAGTTTAGGGTTTAGGGCTCAGGGCCTGTGCGAACCCTGATTCTCGAATCCTGAGCCTCGACATGATCCCTGCAGAGTCCTCAGAATTCTTACTTAAAGTACCCAAAGCCAACCTCACTGGGATGATGCTTCACCCTGCACCTCTAATTACAGTACCCTTAAAGATCCCGTATAGTAGCCCTTATAGAACCGTTTCAAGGAACC